CATCATGAGGCGCCACAACACGAGGCTGGTCATCCGACCCTGTACTATAGTACGACAGACCATCGTTCAGTGCATAACGATGTAATCTCGCATGATCACGTGGTGACAGCTTCACCTTAGCATTTTTAAACTTCGCGCTACCTAGCGCCTGCATAATGGCAACACATGCCTTTTCGCGTGCATACGCCACACGGATACGATCCGTGTGACGAACTCACAACAGTGAGATGAGCAAGCTCATAGTCAGGTCTAAGCGATAACGCGTCAGCCAAAACATTCTGTTTTCCCGGCTTATACTTCACCTCGAAGTTATAATCCGCGAAAAAGGAGAGCCAACGAGCCATTCTCTGCAAGAAATGAGGCGACTGTCACTGTGCGCAACGCCGCATGATCTGTATGGATCACAAACGGATTTGAGCCCAACAGGTGTACCCTGAACTTAACAAGAGCATACTTCATCGTAAGTAGCTCCTATCATGACCTGGATAGTTCTTCTCTTCAGCTTTCAGCTGGCGAGATTCAAACGCGATGACGCGTTCGCGACCCTCAAAGTCGACTTGCAAGAGAGCACTGCCAATGGCAAAGTCCAAAGCGTCACATACGACGCTAAACGGACGATCAGGATCAGGCAAAGCCATAATTGGCGCCTGAAGTAGACTCTCCTCAATGTCTTCAAAAGCTTCGTGGTGCTCGGTGTTCCAACACCATTCCACATCCTTCTTTAGGAGATAAGACAATGGCCTAGCCACTTTCGCATAGTTATGGCTGTACTTGTGCAAGTAATTTGCCAAATTCAACCACGTGCGGAGGTCCTTCTGATTCCCGGATTCCTCGCTTCCCAACGAAGCATCCCAAAAATAGAATATCTTCCGCACCGAAGATGCATTTGTCAATATTGGCATATAACTTATGCAGCCTCATGCAACCGAACACAACTCCCAGGTGATCGATGTGATTTTCTACATCAGTCTTGCCATTTTCAGCTCGACTATGAACGAATATATCGTCAAAGTATGTCTGTGCATACGCCCTAAGGGGCCGAAACAACTGCGTCACCAGACGATTAAACGTTTCAGGTGCGCTAGGTAGCCCTTGGGGCACCACTAACCACTCCCAGAGCATACCGCTTGGAGTGTTGACTGCTGTCAGCGGGATATCACTAGCTCGCATGAGTAATTGGTAATATCCATCGACTAAGTCGAGGGCACTGTACATCGTACATCCCACCATATTGTTCTGAAGAACATCCTTGCGAGGAATCGGTGTTTGAGCCGGGATAGTGGCTGCATTCAGCTTATTGTAAGCATACACTGTTCCCTTCTTCCCATTAGGCTTTCTCACACAAAACGTGGGCGTAGAGTGAGGAGGCTTGTTCTCACGCACCATGCCAGCCGCGTGCTTTGCACGAAAGAAGTTGTCAATGAAGTCACATTGTTCTCGTGGCAGCGGCCACTGTCTCTTCACACATTATTTGGTTCCTGGAACCAAGTCAATTTCATGACATACACCTCTATTCGGAGGTAACCTCGTAGGAGGTTCTCTGGAGACAACATCTCCATATGTCTTCAACGAAGGAAAATAAGGACCCGAAGGGTCCTTCAGGATCTGTGATCTACTACGCGCATTCAGCGCCTTCTTGGTATCCTCAAGAACTGCTTTACCCAAAAGCGATGAGGAGTTCAACTCCTCCTCAAGTCGTATAACGACCCCTTCGGCTATGCCGCCTGCCTGTAAGGCACTGCCAAACTCGGCAAAGGTACAACTCGTTCAGCTCTAATAGAGCACTTACTGCGGGTATAGCTGAAAGAGCCACTGGCTCTTCGACATCCCCAGTCAAACCATTGACAAGTGTAAATAGCTGTTCGCTATCACCTTCACTCACAATATCATCATCGCTACTCATGATGCTCTCAGCATCCGACGCATCAGAGTCCACAGGTGTACATACCTCAAGGTCAAAGACCACTTCATTTACTGACTGCACCCCACCCTCTTGGGTTAGTACCTCTTCACTAGGTGCTTGTACCTCGTTGTCCACAAAACAACCGTAATTTTTGACTCCACCCGACCCTCTTGGGCCAGTACCTCGTCACTAAGTGCTTGCACCTCGTTATCCTCAAAGACTACATCCATTGATGACTTCACCCGACCCTCTTGGGCCAGTACCTCGTCGTTAGGTGCATGCACCTCGTTGTCCTCAAAGACTACATCCATTGATGACTTTACCCGACCCCGGTGGCACGGCGCATATAATTGCTCGATGCCCCCGAATCGATCAAAATGATCCATGGTTTATTATAACCTTCAACCGTCCCTTCGACGACTACCACGTGGCTCCCTGCCGCAATGCGACCCTTCGTACTTTAGATACGGTCACACCAAGCCTACTTTTGTATCAAGTACACCACCCACAGTGGTTGCAGTGTGTCAAATACACACCTCGTGTAACTCACGTTCACGTCGAGTTATGCCCGTTGCAAAACAAGATATAGCCTCATGAATAATTTCGAGTTGTAAAAATTGATTGTTGTGTATTCAATCACTCGAATGTTAGTGTGAGCCCAAGATCTATAGCAACAGTGTTTCCAACTCTATATCCTGTGTTTCCGTATTATTATAAATGAAAAAGTGACGAACAAACTGTGGTCGCAGACGCACAAGACGATATAAAGTACGTTGTTCTATGAAGGGACAAGAGAAGACGACTAATTGATTAGCTACTTTAAACGCATAGCGTAACATTATGATGAGAAACGGAACGCTTACACCAAGAAAGTAATCCTAACGCGGCCACGCCAAAGATTCACCAATCAATAGGCACTAGTGTAAATGTCATTGCAAACGCATACTCCTCTGAGCTCTCAGCAACACCTCATCTCTGTGGCAACTATGGCAATTATAACTCTTTATAGCGACTATAAAAGGGGAATAGGTAAGATAAAGTTTACGTGTAGCGAAACTCACAAGTACTTAAACTATAAAGTTCGATGATTTGGGTGCTGCAAACATTATGAATAACTTAACATAAAATGTAGGCTTAGCTTTGTCATTTTTGTCAAATTATAAAATGTGCGTGATTAAATCGAGAGGTACACTTCAAACAACCTTCGCGACACCTGCATCGCTCAAAACTTCTTCTTTCCGATGGAGACTGCAGACAACAAACCGCAACAGGTACATACATCTCCATGCTCATGTACGCTGCTACTTAACCAATACCCTCTCATTTTGCTAATATTGTCCTGCATGCTGGATCAGATGGATCGTTTCGAAGAGATGGCCACGTTTGTGAACAACCGTGTCTTTGAACTTGTAACAACGAAGATGCACGATAACAATATGGTTGTGGAACGGAAAGATGTAATAAATGCAAGCAAAGTGAAGCTCTGTATTGACGCAATCACAAAGAATGTAGATCAATCTGCTCTACGTGGAATGCTTATTGTGGCTATCTCACTTATACACAACGTAGAAGATATAGTCGCATCCGCCATCGCGAAGGAGACAGCTGCTGATACTGTCGAAAAGTTTGAGCAGGAATTGCACCTTATTCCAAAATTGACGCCAGACGAAATCGAACAGCTCGCAAAGGCTTTCACGCAGACAGAATAGGTTGGCAGGGCCAGCCATGAATTTAAGGATTACGTGGAAAGGTGCTGGAAAATGCATTGTGAAAATTCAAAGCAATTTAAGGCGCCTTATGCGACGGTTGTCCAAAGCTCTGGGTTTGGCAAGAGTCGGATGGTATTCAAGATTGCGCTCATGGCACTGGAGCCCTCCTCAACACATAAGGTTATCTACGTGTGCGCACGCACACAAGACTCGTCTGAGTATTCAGTAGGTTTCATTCATTTTGATTCAAGTGAAGAACCAGGCTCCCCACGATAGTGAATTTCCGAAGTCAGCGACGACGAAACTGCGCCTTTCATTTGTCTTTAGCGAAACAATTGAGAAGACAAACGAACCTGCCAAGGTTACCGACAACACGCTAAGCAAGATAAGTGTCCGTGACGTGATTTGCATCTATATGAACGTGCAAGACGAGGACAACAAGCATCACCGATTTATCTACGTGGAAAAGCCTGAAGATAAAAACAAGAAGAGTGATAGTAGTGAAGGTAAGTTGGCGGACACGATCAGCAAAATTATTAGAGCGCTAGCAAGGAAGCAGCTGAGAATCTCAGTTTTACGCTCTGTTATTGCTCGGTGCGTTGTGATACATTCAAGTTTTTTGATGCGGAAGTGGCCAAGAGATTGAAAGGTCTTGTGGAGACTCTGTGGAACCCTTTAGTACTTGTGGATGACGATTTGAGGCGTCGCCAAGAGGTGGAGCAATCTTTTAATAGCAAGCGTAAAGCACTTATGTCACAAGCGATGCGAGACGAAGAGCTAAGGAAGATTGCTTGTCAAGGGCTTGCGGATCTGCCAGGACGACAAAAAGCTAGCGAGAAAGGACAGCCGTCCTTTATGAGCAACATACACCAAGGCGACCAAAAAGTGATTTGCACTAACGCCTACATCGAGTGTAACGCTGGAGAAGGTAAACAGAGGTCGTATTCTTTTGATTTTTTAGTGCGTCTGCGTTTTGCTTATGCGTTTGCTGCTGTCATGTTGTGGAGATGCAAATATTGGTAGGATTGGTCAGGTTTCGTCAGTAGGCTTAGATGTAGAGTAGTGCAAACTAGACGAATTCTATGTTACATTTTAAACAAAAGTATAAGGTACTTTATGCAACTAACGGTTTAACAGGTACTTGAATTAGTACAAAGGTGTTGTTTTTTTGTTTTTTCGTAACTCGATGCAAAGCTAATTCGGCAGTAAGCATACTTTGGCAATTATGAAGATTAATTAGGAAATGACTGATGCTTTTCATGTGAAAATTGGTAAATAGGGTTGAAATACCATATGAGAGTAAACACACACAGCTTTATCTCCCTTAGCTGCACTCCACTCTGCGTTCACATCATATCCCATGCAAATCGATCGATTAGTGAAACCTGCTAAGAAGCTGAGGGCGCCGGTGGTATATCGGATACATTCACGGCAGCAGGTGCACTTAGAGTCTCCTCCAAAGTCTCGTCATTACTATCCGTAATGCTGCGTGGGCTGCTACCGAGCGTTAGCGTCTTTGTGAGTGAGATTGTCGCATTGACAGTGCGAACCGCAGCCCGAAATTACGACGCGCGTTGAACTTGCGCAGCTCTTGTAGCGCCGTAGTAAGCTGCACGTCATTAACGGCATCCGCTGCAATCCATTGATGGTATAGAAACTGCCGTGCTGACCATCGCTCCGCTAGTGCAAAAATCAGCATCTTACTAGTAAGACTTTGGCTTCTGCAGATACATCATCCCAATATGGCGAGTCAAATTCATAGCGTCCCGCTTTAATGAGTCGAAAGAGTACGATCTGGTTGTCATGATGGAATGACGGATATCCACAGAGCAAAATGTTTGTGATGACACCGCAACTCCAAATGTCCACTTGCTTACCGTATATCTGACATTAAAATCTTGGGTGCTACAGGCCGTGGATAACCCTGCATCTCGAGTCTGAATCGCTCTTTTCGTTGCAACCCCAAAGTCTACAAACTTACTATCTGTATCATCTCAGCACTGCTCAGCAATACGTTTTCTGGTTTCAAATTTCGATGAACGACATTTGCATCATGACAGAATGCAATTGTTGCGAGCAATACTTTGACCAAATCACGTGCTTCTCTCTCTGTGTAAAAGTTCTTCTTGACAATTCGTTCAAAGAGTTCTCCACCAGCCATAAACTCAATCACTCTAAAGAAATATGTTTCACTTGAACACATCATATAGCTTGACCATATGTGGATGTTGCATCTCTCTCAAGAGTTTTACTTCGGCGACGAGAGCTTGTAAATCATCTGCTGTTTGTTAGCTGTGCACGTTTAAGGCATTCAATAGCAAAACGTTCACCTGTTGTCTTATGTGTCGCTTCTCAAACTACTGAGACCTGAGTTCTTTTCCCAGGCTGTAAACATCGGCAAACTGGTGATGCCTTTCATGAGCAGCAATCTGTTCAAATTGAACAGCAGGAGGTGGTGGAGGCACGAGAAAACGTACACTACGTTCGACATTACTCGAACTTACAAGAATATCACGGATATTTTTCCAATGTCCATGAAACTGTCGCGTCTGTAGAAACATGCTCATTAACACCTAAAAGAAGGGAATTTGGACCATTTCACCCTGATTTTCAAGAGCACCGGGTTTAGCCTCCTACGGGACAAAACCCATCCACAACAACATATCCATCAACTAATGATCTTTTACTTACGATACGACCGAGAGGACCAGCAGGTACGACGACATTAATGCGCTTCCATTGTAAACGATTGGGTGCCACTTGGTTAAAGGACTTTTGAGTTTGTAATGGAGGTATTATTTATGGAGATACATAAACAAGTGATGGCATACTTGCTTTCTATGCAAAGATTAGTATGTAAGGTATTTAAGGTAAATGAGATGGATTTTATTGTAAACACACGTTTTATATAAAAAGAGGGATAATCACTAGATTTTAGCATTCATCCTCCCAATTAGTTTCTGAGCTTCCATAAGTTGTTTAGTCACAATAGATCGCTTGCGAGAATGGATATTATCCACCATATGATTCTTCTAGTTTTTTATCCCTCGAAATATTGGATTCACTTAATTTAGTCCATATTCCCTGTCTATAAAAATCATAATTGTATCTTGATGATTTGAGAATAATAAAAGCTTGGATGATAAAATATTACTCACAAGAGGTTTTCCGTTGGTTCGATATAATTGATACTTTTGGTCTAGTAGTAAGGTCAAGTCCTCACAGCAGCGGAGTATCCGTACGACAATGATTGAACAGTATTCAGAATTCGAGCCATATGCGGAGATGCTTGTGCCTAAGAAGGCGCCAATGAGTTGATGGAGGCTGGCACCCAGTTGGTTTGTACAAGAATTATAACAATGGATCTGACTAGATTTTGAAAAGCTCATAATGTTTGGTATTGTTGTATTTGAATGATTGTGTGTGGATGTACTACAGGCTATGATGGCATAAGGCAAGGAACATGCCATGGCAATTGATATCCTCACAATGTCCACCGATAACATGTACGTGCAATGTGATATGTGAAGATTGGTCAAAGTGCGACAATGACTTATTTTTGTATCTGCAATCGCAACAAGAACAAGGGTGTTGCTATTGAGATGGTGCATTTTCTCGGCGATAATTTCTGCTTTTATGTCTTGTACGCTGCTTATTTAAACAAACTTGGTTATTTTACGCAAAGCAGCTATGATTGATCTGTGGTGTGTTTAGCACAAACATGCTCATCTCTTCAGCTGTGCCCTCAAGCCACAACTGATTTTTAACGTAACATCCGTGCTAGAAGTTGTATCTTCGCCAGTCGTTGATGCAGCCTTATGTAGCTTCCAGTCAAAGCTATGTGTACTGACGTTCGCGTCAGCAGGTTGCAATCTAATGCCCCCTATTATAAGCAAATTTCGTAAAGGCAGGAGTCACTCGTGAGCGGGCCCAACCCGAATGTTCCGTTACTCATTATGTCCTGAGTAGTACGTTTGAAGAGGCAGTAATTGAGTCCAAAGTGGATGCAGGAGTGCAACATGCTGCCAAACTGATGCTCCTGCCTATTAGACTCAATATAACAAGGTATGCGTCCCACGCAAATACTATCTTGTTGATAAGAGGAGATATCTTAGACTGAGAAAATACTTTGCAAAGCATACCTAGTATGCATGCAAGTCCCACTCCAGTGTATACTGACTTCTACCTATACGTATATATGCAAGTTGAAGCCTACTTCAACACTGCCAATGCTGCTATCCTCGGTAGCCAGACTTGTAATTAAGACTTGTTTATCCAGGTCAATATGCATCGTTGGAGGAAGTGCCAGTGGGCTACACTTGCTTAATCAAACAAATATGTCAACGTGTCCCAGACGCGAGGCTATATCAAAGGTGTAACGGGGTTACACGAAGGCGTGTGTTTTACATACACACCTGCCACACCAATGTGGTGTAGCTGTACCTTAGGTACAAAAGTAGGTGATATGACCGTACCTGAAGTACGAAGGGTCGGCAGAGAGCCACGTGGTCACTATACTGATTTAATTATAGTGACTATGCATGGTTGCATAATAATAACAGGCTATAGAGCCAGTAATAGTGACTAGCACTAAGTATAGAGTAGGTGCTTCTATATTTAGTGTTAGAAAATAAACATGAATATAAATCAGTTTCAAACCTGCTCTGTAAGCCTTACAGTTTGAGCATTCGATTCCTTCTAAGGAATCAGTATATTTGATGCTAGTCTCTCTGAGACTCGATTTCAATATTGATAGGCACAAGCTTACGAGCTAGCCTAGGAGGGTTTAACACCCTTAGACGTAAAAGCTCTTTGAGCTTATCCTCTGCACACAGTGCATAAGCAGCTTTGCTACAGTAGTCTGACTACTTCTTCTGCACATAGTGCATCTACACATAGTGCATAAGTAGCGAAGCTACAGTAACTCGGCTACAAAAGGTGAAGTGTCAAAGTAGCCCTTACGCGTTCAAATGAAGCGACTATACATAGTTGGCATTTTCTGACTGGTTATGTGCTAGTAGTGGCGCTTGCTCCTGCATGCAAATATCCCTTTGATGACCACAGCGATGTTGATACAAAAAATCTTGAGCGTATAGAAGCCTAGCCTGTGCTAAAAAGCGTATTGATGAACAAAGACTTTGAGTTTGTCATGGAGGTGACCGAGAAGACCCGCGCTGATGCTGAGAGAGGTTACAAGGATAGACTATCTTCTTGAATCAAGTTAAGTGCCCGCCACAGCAAATGGCCAATTTTTCTGCTAACAACAAGTTTGGGACATACAACACGAATAATATCTAGGTGAATCTGCGCGTAATTAAAGGCTAGTGGCCATTATCTTATCGACATTGATCCGCTTGTTACCTATCGTAACGTGAAGAGCCTTTAGGTTGTCCAGTTAGAAACGCGTCTGGTGAGGCGATCTACTTATTCCAAAATTCGATTGGGTTGAAGGTGCCACGGCCACGTTTTCTACCTGTGTAGTCCTCGCCGGATGTTTTCATGGTCCAGTCAAATATGTCGGCGGAGCCACGCCTACAATTCGGATTGTAAAGCTTGGACTAGATTTGCAAAGCGCTCGCTTGGAAAATAGCAATTCCAACATTCCGGTGCTAGACCACCTAACGGTCGCTGGCGACGTCAAGTTCGGCTCCAACATTACATCTAAGGTAAGGAACAAGTTTTAGCTGCAATTTCATCTCACATGACTGACTCAGTGCGCCTTGTATTATGAATAGGGAACAGTAATGCTTGTTGCCAATGATAAAGCTCATATTGATCTCCCTGACGGGACTGTGTTAGAGAACAGGCAACTTGCGTATCTTGGATCACTAGGCGTAGTTAAAGTAACGAGTTAGACATCGTTACTTGTTCAATTAAAGTTATGGAGATTCCAAAATAAATGCATATATGCAGTTAGGTTGTACATTTACGACGACATACACTCGTAGAGCAAAAGCTCCCAAAAGTCCGGGTCGAATGCTTAAAAAACGACAATGACATGATTGTAGATCGATGTCGGTGTCACATGAGCCATTGGCCGATGCATTCTCGGTGATAAAGTGCAAACACGGTAAAGCGCGCACTTCTTCTCCTGTTTCAAACTCATCATAGCATACTGCAAAAAATGTATTTCACACTTCGTTGTCCTTCTCTGATGTGTTTTTTCGGCATCAAATTAATCACGAATCTGGTAGATGAACGTTGAAAGTGCAATAATCTGCGTGTACAATACTCTATCCCAGAGCTTTTTCTGCATCACTCACCATCAACAGTACACAAAGCATGCTCAACAATGGAAAAGATTTTGATAACAGACATCGCCTTGCTGCGAGAGAAGTACGTTGATGGGACGGAGCAATGATAAGAAGCGCAGCTTGTTTCAATCCTCATCTGCGTCATTGCTAATCTGAGGTGTCACATACGAAGATGAAGTAGATCATCTTCGTGGTGACGCCTGAAATTAAAGAGATTTGAAATGTGTAAATGGTGACAAACTAGCGAGAAGAGCTATATCTTTTTTCCACAATTATAGCATCTGCACGCGATGCTGGTGCAGACTTAAGCAATTGGGTCAGTGCTGCGTTATCACACTACAAAGCCGTGACCACCACACAATCTTAGTCGGTGTACAAATATCACTAAAAACAACCAATAAAATCAGTCCATTGTACCGTGACGGTTGCAAATATACTCTTATGTCTTGGACACATACTGGGTGCAAGATTTGAAGGCCTACGTGAAGGTAAATTAGATCGACCTTTCAATACAGTGCGCTCGATCGTGCAGTAAGATGGCCAGGGAACACAAGGTAAGCGAAGCGGGGAAACTATTGTATTGTCCCGGTCAGAGTGTTGAAGGAGACGACCGAGAAGTGACAGCCAGATAAGTGACAATCGAAAGTCTCCTAGCTGACACTCTGCATCACTACCACACCAGTCTGGAAGGAGGTCACAGAGGGGTTGGACGTACCTATCACCGAATCCGACGGTACTGCCATTTGAAAGGTTCATTCCGAAGCGTACCGAGGTATGTGGGGACATATGTTGATTGCGAGGCTGGAAAATGAGGACCTACCCTACAGGGCAAGACCTCGGGAAATGCCGAAGCGACATACCCTATTCAGATTATAGCAATGGAAAATATTCCCTTTCTTACCTGGCCGCACTAATAAAATACTAAGCTACTGATTTGGGTCGACCTGTCCACGATCTATGTGATGGCCAAGCTAGTTTTTTGCAGGCATCCCATGTAAAATGCTGAAGGGTACGAAAAATGCGTTTTCGCCGTTTTAGTGCTAGCGAGGCAATCCGACACAATAGAGAGCCAGGAAATATGTTGGATTCTCTTTCGGGCTTTTCCTCGCATGGTGAGCCAGCGTCAACGGGCTATTATGGCCTACCGGCATCAGGCAAACAATACCGCAAAGTGGATGGTTCAGACCCTGACTAGGTCCATCAAGACGTATGTCTCTGATGTTGGACAGCAGGATTGGGACGAGTATGCGGAACGACTAACGTTTGCGATGAACACCGCGCAAGTAAAAAGGTTTAGACCTTGCAGATGTAAGCTACTTAAGCTAGTCTTCCTCTGCACCAATTGCATAAGAGCTTTGCTACAGTAGCTCTGCTAAACCTGGTAGCACTTGTAGTCAATTTTGGACCAAAGCATGCGACTACTTTTTTGCGTGAGAATGGACATCGATGAGATGTCAGCGGTTGGCCTGTCACAGGCACAACAGGAAGGGTTGCAGAAGCTGCTCCCTATCTTTGGCCCTAAGGGCGTGGAGTATCTCATCGCCCGAAGCGAGGAAGAAGTTAACAAGCGTATTCATATGCTTGATGATTATAATCAAGCTCTAGTCGAGCATGTAAAGGCACAGAAGTTTTCTTCTGAGCCTTCGCCAATGGCGACGTTGGTGCAAGAAGTGGTCCGAAGACCAAAACGCATACAAATGGAAGTCGATAAACTCGACGGCAAAGAAGGTGACAACCTTATGCTTTGGTTCCAACAGGTTGAGTCGGCTATGTTTATAGCCGACATCACCTATAAACCGTACCGTGTTGGATTTGCCACGGGCAAGTTGTGTGGCTTAGCCAAACAGTGGGCATTCACATGTGGTGCATTATTGCTAAATGCTTTTGGGCCGATCTGAAAGCTCAGACGACTCGGCTGTATGCACCGCCGATCTGAAAGTTCAGATGACTCGGCAGTATGCCACAAAGGCCGATCTGAAAGTTTAGATGACTCGGCAGTATGCACCGACAGACCAAGCACACCGGAATCGGTCACGGAGTGTCGCTAAGGCAAGCGTGAGCTTGCGGCATATGTATAAGAGCTGAGAACTCTTATTGCTGCCATGGTCATAGACCATATGCCTGAGGCAGTGGCCGTCACGGACATCATGGAGGGCCTTCGAGTTGGCGCTGCTAGAACGGAAGTCTTCCGGGTAAACCCGTCCTCATTCGAGGCAGCTATTGGAGTGGCATGGAATGCCGAGACCAACTTTAAGGCCGCTAGGCCTGCCAGTTATAACTACTCGTCTGATGGGTCCGTACCCATTGACTGTAAGTGGAGAATGAAGAATCTGAGCTTCAAGTTGCGGAGCAGCAAATTGTGCGCAGATGTTATATCTGCAAGAGCACGGACCATTTGATGGCAAAATTCCCTGCAAGAAATGCATATTTGGCCTCGAAGGGCCGACACCCCATGGGCGTACCCTCTGGTTTGCCGCGGGGAAACAGCGGATGTCAGTGGGCGTGCGGCGCCATACTGAGGATAGAACTGAGTTCTGTTGAGCCTCCGGAAGGTAGAAGTAAACAGGGCCTAGCTCCAAAGAGATCCGAACTCTCAAAAACGGAACGAGAATGCAAGCAGGCTTGGTAGTCGCTGAAAGGACGGTCAAGGGCTTTGATACGCCATGGATCATTTTGATCGATTCGGGGGTATCGGGCAATTATGTGCGCCGTTCCACCGTGGAAGGTAGTCAGCAGTATGCTGAAGCGATTGTAGCGCGTGAGAGTGACACAGTCACAGTTCGCTTAGCGGGTGGTAGGCGTTTTACGGCACCTAAAGTCCCGATGGAGTTAGTTATAAAGTTCTTGGACTTTAACAGCATGGAACACTGTTTGGTCTTAGACCAGGATGCGAGGTATGACCTCATCTTCGGCATGGCAGGGCAAGAACGTCATGAGCCATGAATTGATTGATTGGAGGTCGAAGACCTTAGGCGCAACGCGCAATGCTCCTGGTGGGGCTCTGGAGAGTCATGAACCCACCTCTGCTAGGAAGCAAAATCGTTTTTGGCGCGGATATTGGACCGAGTCGGTCAATATGTTGGATGTCAAAATATCCGACTTTGTATACACCTTAAGTGTCGAGGACAATAGTCTTGGGCGAGGACCAATGACTGTCGATAGTGTGGTTGAGAACCCACTAGATGGCACATATGACATGTGTCATGAGAATGATGTTACATCATTAATACCGTGAGTGGTGTTGGTGGCTGCATGCCAAGATGTCAGGACATGAGTCAAGTGACATGAGTGACGAGGAACTGACCCTGGAGGGCCGGGTGAAGTCACAAATGGATGTTGTCTTTGAGGACAACGAGGTGCATGCACCTAACGACAAGATACTGGCCCAAGAGGGTCGTGTGAAGTCATCAATGGATGTAGTCTTTGAGGATAACGAGGTGCAAGCACTTAGTGACGAGGTACTGGCCCAAGAGGGTCGGGTGGAGTCAAAAATGACGGTTGTTTTGTGGACAACGAGGTACAAGCACCTAGTGAAGAGGTACTAACCCAAGAGGGTGGGGTGCAGTCAGCAAATGAAGTGGTCTTTGACCTTGAGGTATGTACACCTGTGGACTCTGATGCGTCGGATGCTGAGAGCATCATGAGTAGCGATGATGATATTGTGACTGAAGGTGATAGCGAACAGCTATTTACACTTGTCAATGGTTTGACTGGGGATGTCGAAGAGCCGGTGGCTCTTTCAGCTATACCCGCAGTAAGTGCTCTGTTAGAGCTAAACGAGTTGTACCTTGCTAAGTTTGGCAGTGCCTTACAGGCAGGCGGCATAGCCGACGGAGTCGTTATACGACCTGAGGAGGAGTTGAACTCCTCATCGCTTTTGGGTAAAGCAGTTCTTGAGGATACCAAGAAGGCGCTGAATGCGCGTAGTAGATCACAGATCCTGAAGGACCCTTCGGATCCTTATTTTCCTTCGTTGAAGACATATGGAGATGTTGTCTCCAGAGAACCTCCTACGAGGTTACCTCCGAATAGAGGTGTATGTCATGAAATTGACTTGGTTCCAGGAACCAAATAATGTGTGAAGAGACAGTGGCCGCTGCCACGAGAACAATGTGACTTCATTGAAAACTTCTTTCGTGCAAAGCACGCGGCTGGCATGGTGCGTGAGAACAAGCCTCCTCACTCTACGCCCACGTTTTGTGTGAGAAAGCCTAATGGGAAGAGGCGAACAGTGCATGCTTACAATAAGCTGAATGCAGCCACTATCCCGGCTCAAACACCGATTCCTCGCAAGGCTCTTCTTCAGAACAATATGGTGGGATGTACGATGTACAGTGCCCTCGACTTAGTCGATGGATATTACCAATTACTCATGCGAGCTAGTGATATCCCGCTGACAGCAGTCAACACTCCAAGCGGTATGCTCTGGGAGTGGTTAGTGGTGCCCCAAGGGCTACCTAGCGCACTGAAACGTTTAATCGTCTGGTGACGCAGTTGTTTCGGCCCCTTAGGGCGTATGCACAGACATACTTTGACGATATATTCGTTCATAGTCGAGCTGAAAATGGCAAGACTGAT